TTAGCCATTCTGAATCGGAGAATCATATAGTCTACTCTGCCGGGAATGACAACTTGAAGAGGAATAGCATTGCGTTCATCGTCAAAAAGAACATTGCGAGATCTATTCTGAATTACAATGCTGTCAGTGATAGGATAATATCCATATGCCGATAAGAAAGACCACTTAATATGACTATTATTCAAATTGACACACCAGCCACTAAGGCCAAAGTTGAAGAAACTGAAGATTTTTACCAGCTTCTGCAGTCTGAAATTGATGGAACATGCGATTAGGATACATCGATAATTACTGGTGATTGGAATGCAAAAGCTGGAAACAGATAAGGATTGGTAGTTGGAAAATATGGCCTTGGTGATAGAAACAACACTAGAGATTGCATGACAGAATTTTGCAAGACCAACAACTTCTTCATTGCAAATACCTTTTTTCACCAATGTAAATGGCGACTATACACATGGACTCTGCCAGATGGAATACACAGGAATCAAATCGACCACATTTGTGGAAAGAGACGATGGAAAAGCTCCATATCATCTGTCAGAACAAGGCCGACTGCGGAACAGACCATCAATTACTCAGATGGAGTTCAAGTTGAAACTGAAGAAAATTAGAACAAGTCCACGAGAGCCAAACTATGACCTTGAGTATATCTCACCTGAATTTAGAGACCATCTCAAGAATAGATTTGACACATTGAACACTAATGAACGAAGACCAGATGAGTTGTGGAATGACATCAAGGACATCATACATGAAGTAAGCAAGAGGTCATTAAAAAGACAGGAAAGAAAGAAAAGACCAAAACGGATGTCAGAAGAGACTCTGAAACTTGCTCTTGAACGTCGAGTAGCTAAAGCAAAAGGAAGAAATGATGAAGTAAAAGAACTGAAGAGAAGATTTCAAAGGGCGGCTCGAGAAGACAAAGTAAAGTATTATAATGAAATGTGTAAAGAACTGGAGATAGAAAACCAAAAGGGAAGAACATGCTTGGCATTTCTCAACCTGAAAGGACTGAAATAAAAATTCAAGCCTCGCTGGAATAGTGAAGGATTCTATGGGGAAAACATTAAACAACACAGGAAGCATCTAAAGAAGACGGAAGGAATACCCAGTCATTATACCAAAAAGAATTGGTTGACGTTTAACCATTTCAGGAGGTAGCATATGATCAGGAACCGATGGTACTGAAGGAAGAGGTCCAAGCTGCACTGAAGGCATTGGTGAAAAACAAGGCTTCAGGAATTGACAGAATATCAATTGAGATGTTTCAACAAATGGATGCAGCGCTGGAAGCGCTCACTTGTCTATACCAAGAAATTTGGAAGGCAGCTACCTGGCCAACTGACTGGAAAAGATCTATATTTATGCCCATTCCCAAGAAAGGTGATCCAACCAAATGCGGAAATTATCAAACAATATCATGAATATCACACACAAGTAAAATTTTGCTGAAGATCATTCAAAAGCGGCTGTATATTGACAGGGAACTGCCAAAAATTCAGGCCAGATTCAGAAGAGGATGTGGAACCAGGAATATCATTGTTGATGTCAGATGGATCCTGGCTGAAAGCAGAGAATACCAGAAAGATGCTTACTTGTGTTTTATTGACTATGCAAAGGCATTCGACTGTGTGGATCATAACAAATTATGGATAACGTTGCGAAGAATGGGAATTCCAGAACACTTAATTGTGCTCATGAGGAACCTGTACATAGATCAAGAGGTAGTTGTTCGGACAGAACAAGGGGACACTGCGTGGTTTAAAGTCAGGAAAGGTGTGCGTCAGGGTTGTATCCTTTCACCATACCTATTCAATCTGTACGTTGAGCAAATAATCCAAGAAGTTGGACTATATGAAGAAGAATGGGGCATCAGGATTGGAGGAAGACTCATTAACAACCTGCTTTACGCAGATGATGCAACCTTGTTTGCTGAAAGTGAAGAGGACCTGAAGCACTTACTGATGAAGATCAAAGACCACAAACCTTCAGTATGGATTATACCTCAACATAAAGAAAGCCAAAATCCTCACAAATGAACCAATAAGCAACATCATGATAAAGGGAGAAAAGACTGAAGTTGTCAAAGATTTCATTTTACTTGGATCCACAATCAACGCCCATGGAAGCAGCAATCAGGAAATCAAAAGACGCATTGCACTGGGCAAATCTGCTGCAAAATTCCTCTTTAAAGCAAAGATGTCACCTTGAAGACTAAGGTGCACCTGACCCAGCCATGGTGTTTTCAATCGCCTCATGTGCACGCAAAAGCTGGACGATGAATAAGAATGTCTGAAGAAGAAGTGACACCTCTGAATTGTGGTTTTGGCGAAGAATAGTAAATATACCATGGACTGCCAAAAGAATGAACAAATCTGTCTTGGAAGAAGTACAACCAGAATACTCCTTAGAAGCAAGGATGGCAAGACTATGTCTCACATACTTTGGACATGTTTTCAGGAGGGATCAGTCCATGGAGAAGGACATCATGCTTGGGGGTCAGCGAGAAAGAGGAAGACCCTCAACGAGATGGATTGACACAGTAGCTGCAACAATGGGTTCAAGCATAACAACGACTGTGAGCACGGCGCAGGACTGGGCAGTGTTTCGTTCTGTAGTACACAGGGTCACTATGAGTCGGAACCACCTCGATGGCACCTAACAACAACAACAAAGACTTTAAGGCAAAAGCTTAATTTCCACCTCTTCTTGACATGCTATGAAAAAAAAAAAAACAAACCCATTGCCGTCGAGTCAATACCAACTCATAGTGACCCTACAGGACAGGATAGAACTGCCCCATAGGTTTTCCAAGGAGTAGCTGGTGGATTTGAACTGCTGACCTTTTGGTTAGCAGCCAGAGCTCTTTACCACTGCGCCACTAGGGCATGATTCACCTATAATGCAGTTTAAAAGCATCAAGTAAAAGGATCTTCAGCAATGCTCTCCCTTCATAGGCTACTTTCCTTAAAAATAAGCTAAAGGAACTCATTCTCTTTCATTTAGTATTTTGAAAAATTATCTAGTGATATTTCTTGATTATATGTGTCAATAAAAAGAAAAGATTAATCTATTTTCCAGACAGTCGATTAAAAATTATCAAAATCCATTTGTGCACCAAGGTTTTAACTTATTACAACATGGAGAATTTCAAGTGAATGTCTAAAAATTTGGACAGACCAAATTCTTATGTATAATCCCAATTGCTTCTAGGAGCATTTGTTCTTTGTACCACGTCTTTGATGTACTCATAAGAAAAACCTCTTAAAGTCCTTCCTGTGTTCATACTTAAGACTTGTTTCTCTGAGATTTAGATTAAAAAAAAGTTTTATTGTTTTTGTAAATTCATCAGTTTTGGTAAAATTACAGAATGTATTTTTTCTTTTTCTTTCAGGTGTGGCTATAAAATAATGTAACTAACTACAACTTCTGCTTTTTAGAAATCAGATGGCAGCAGCTCTTATTTAAAGAACTCTCTTTACTAATTTTTAAAACATACTATCATTAAAGCTAGATATATACAGATGATACCAAAACAGTTCAATATTCTTCATCATTGCTAAGATAAAAATCTTAAGTGAAAATAGAGTGTTACAACAGTTAAAAAAAAATTAGACTTCCAAGCAAACAAGAAATATCAACTTTAGTATTTTGTACATATCTTTATTAAAACCTCTAAAAGTGGGTAAGAGAACTTAGAAAACCTGAGAACTTTGAGATACATATGGAAAGATGATAAGTTCATTCTGAAACAAAATCCTTCCTTGACAACTGAGCATATCCAACTACAAGACTCACATGAAAGTTTTCAGAGGAAAATTCCAGTTCTCCAGGTTTTGGAGAGGCAGATAAATTAAAGGAGAGAGAAAGATAAGCACAGCATTGAATCTAACACAGAGACTGAACCTGAAATCGAATAGGTTGGGTAAAAAAGTGATATAAGTAAGAATATGGGGGTATTGGGAGAGAAACTACCAAGACTGATCAGATTTTACTTGTGTCCCCATATCAAACAAATGGTACATACTAGAAGAGATAGTAAAGATAGGGCAACTTTATTTTAGAGAGATAATAAAGTTGGGACAAGAAAGACTCTTGATGACCAAGATGATGGTTCTGTGTTTGGAGCTGAGATGACACATATATTTTAATTATACGTATAAATTATGCTTTTTTATTATCAAAGAGATAGTCTTATCAATACTGCATGATAATTGACTTATGTTTTCAGTTCCACTCTACTCTGGAGAGAGAGGTAAAAGGCCCTATACTATAATCTAAATAAAATAGTGTAGCCAGTAAAGCCTATGGTGATTTTTTTTCTTTGAATTTTTAATTAAAATATAAATAGTTATAATTTAATATGTTTTATCAATCTATTTTAAAAAATGAGGTTCCTAGGCATTGAAAAAGAAAATTCATTTGAATTGAAACTAACTTTCTACATTTCCATAAAAGACATACCAAGCATCAAAATCAGGCTCTTAACCACCCTTTGCCACCAATATTTGCCCTATCTAACATTTTACTATGTAAATAGATATGCCAATATTTTGCTGTGGGCCAGATTATGAAAATAAAGCTGACCTACTAGATATTAAACAAAAGATAGGCATATTGGTTTAAAATTGCTGTTACTCTGCAATAATAAGAGGAGAGTTCTTCTTCAAGGCCTTGTTAAATTCTCAAATACAGCTTGAGCTGTTAAAATCCATGTTATGTGAAAGTACAAGGTGTGTATATATGATAAACAACGAATAGAGTTAAAGAAATCAAGTAATAATTTTTTTAAAGTATGTATTCCTAAAAATTGATAAAGTCCTTACTTCTCACTTCTATTTTATGATATGACTTATAGAATATAATTTCTATAGCTTCAATTCTTTTTTTAAATAAACCTAGGTATGAATAGGAAAGATACTATGAATTCCTTTTTAAAGAATGGACCACACTAAACAAGCCTTTTCTTTGAAGTCATTCAATTGCTATATAATTACCTCTGTGCTAGTATCATGATATTGAGTTGAAGCTGCCCCACACTTGAGTCTGAGTTTTGTTACCAGTTGCTCAAAGTCGTTAACTTCAGTGAAGCGAAAAGCTGTTTTTCCTTTGATGCTAATGATGACAGATTTGCTGGAATCATTTGTCTTATCTATAGCTAAGACCTGGGGGTGAAAAACATATAAATAAATGAATCACATTTTTCCCTTATTGTTGATACTTTCAGGCAAAATGTGTTTGGCCTAGTGTTTTGTGGCTAAAAGTTTTGGCCTATGATATGTTAAGAAATTGGCTTTGGATACTAGTTGTACCACTGATAGAAGTAACCTCAGTGTAAGTTATTTCACTTCTCAAGGAAAAGGTTTAACTAATATGCAGCTTTTAAAAATGACAATACAATTTTAAAAATTTAGTACTGCAATACTGACAATTTATTTCTAACCTACACAAAAGTTATCGACTCTATTCTTTTGACCATCAAAATGTGATAATCTAAATTTTGCTATTCATGTCATAAATGTCTAAGTGATTATGCTCCTTTTTGAGTCATCTTAATTTCTTATTTTGTTTTTAAATTTTCATTTTTTTCTACTTTCACTTTTAATAAGAGCTGGAAGGCTTTACTAAAAGTAATTGAGAACATCTCAGAAGCTAGAACTCTTATCTTGAAGAACAATACTGAACTTAAAAAAATTATTACTTTAAAATTACAAAAAGGATATTGTATATCAAGTTTTCAGTAATTTACAGAATAAAAGGTCACTTTATTCTGTGAATGAAAACATTTTCAAACCAAAAGCTGATATGTAACCAAATTTACGTTACCTCTCGTAATGGAATGATTACAATACATAGATTGCCATCCTGGCTAGCAAAGCAGATATAGTTTTCTGAAATACACATTTTTCCATGAGTATTAAAGTGGCTAAATGGTACCCATAAGAAACATTCATGTACTTCTTTCAAAGTCTCTTCTTTGGGCAGCCTAAAAAAAGCATTAAATTGCTCACTGTGTGCTCGATTTTCCAGACCTCTGTAGAAAAGAAAAAAAGAAGGGGGGGGGGCGCTCAGATGATGAATTCTAAAGTGTACACATGCCTATATTGATTAATCTAAATGCACTGTAAAGCAGATAGGTTAAAAATTAAATGCTATGTTCTTTAACAAATTATAAAATGGAAGAAACACATCAATTCCTAAAAAAACTCATTTTGCTTGTTCTTCTTTCCAATTTTATTAGTAGATTTAAAATGCACAAAAGTTAGAGATGATGTAGATTTTAAAATCATCTGTTAAGGGGTGATTTGCTGAAAGGCCATGATGATATTATTATATACTCATAATATATGAATATGGCTAAAACCAATCTTGGCAGACAACAATTTTCATACTGGGTTATTAGAAAATCAAGAGAATTACTGAGTTCAAACAAAATGAAAATTCATGGCATCAAAGTTTAGAAAGGAAGAATAACCCATAAAAGAGAATATTAAAATTAAGTGAAACAGACATTTAAATGAATGTTTAAAAAAATATCCAAAATAGAGGCATGATATAATAATACTGCTTGCACAGTGCTGGGCACAGTATAGGTGTCGATAAATACAGATGACTTGTTGACTGATACATAAATATACAAATAAAAAAGCAATTGCTTAAAACAGTACAATTATTTAGGGGCACTAAACACATGTGCTAAGCAGCAATGCCATCTGGGAGAGTAAGTAGATTATACAAGTTCTAACTCAAATCCAACAAGGTTAAATCTAAATTCATCCTTCCTGCATATACTATTTGAATATGTGATACTTCATTATGTCTTTCAAAATAATTCTGATAAATATGAGCCTCACTTAAACTAATTTGGTGGGCTATTTCGCTATTGTTTAAAAAGATGAGATCTACTTATAGGAAGGGAAAAATGTCCATGATATAATATTGTAAGGGAAAAAACCAGATTGTAGAACAGTATATGTTGTTTAGTCCCATTCATGTATTTTTTTTTTTGCAAATATTTTTTTAATTCATGCACTAAAAATCTTGGAAGGACATGCATGAAACTTAACTATGGTTATTATGCTTCTGTATTGTTTGAATTGGAGCCCTGGTGGCACAGTGGTTAAGCACTTGGCTGCTAACCAAAAGGTCAGCGGTTCGAACCCACCAGCTGCTCAGTGGGAGAAAGATGTGGTAGTCCGTTTCCGGAAAGATTACAGCCTAGGAAACCCTATGGGGGCAGTTCTACTCTGTCCTATAGGGTTGCTATGAGTCAGAATCAACTTGATGGCAGTGGGTTTAGTTTTGGGGTTTTGGTATTGTTTGAATTATAGCAGTAATACATGCTTGTACAAACAGTAAGCAGAAGCAATAAAGATATTCCATTTTAGAAAAAAGTAATTTGGGGACTAAGGCTCAATAAGTTATTATTTTTTTAACTTACTAGAAAAAAGGATTTAGATATATATGATTTTCAACAGGCTCTCTTAAAAACGCATAGGGACAAAAATGGATTTACTGTATCTCATTTAAATACAGACTTAGTAATGAATAACTCATTAATCGATGGCTTTTTAGAGGATTTTTTTAAGGGAAATACAATGGCTAAGAAGGGCTCTATAGTATGTTTATGGTGGCCAATCATGGAACAAATAAAGAACAAATGCCCAACTAGAATATAACAAAAACAGGATTCTTAATCCTTATAGAATTCTATTTATAAATCACGCACATTAGAACATAATTTTGGTAATGAAGTGTAAAAAATTCACCTTACTGATCTAATTTCCAGAAAAGCAGGCTGGCTCACAAAGGAATACTTACATATATGGATTTTAGAATGGTTTAGGAATAAGCAAGAGGAACAACTGTACCCAGTTAGGGCTATATAGTAATCACGCAACCCTCCAGATCACTTGTTCATCTACCCGTCGGACTACGGCTGGGGTTCTTCTTATATTTTCCCATACTGCCTATAGTTATCTTCCTTGCCAGAAGCTGCTTGCACTAGCTATTTCCGGGACCTCTCCTGTCCCCCTTCCCTTTGGCATGCTGATTTCATCCAACTATTCTGAATGTTGAGCAGGATGAAAGGGTTCTGCTCAGTTTCAGCAAACCAAATACAGTGACAAACAGCTATCAGACAGATACTTCTGATGTAACCTGTTGCCCTTGATCCCGACTCACAGGCACAAATAATGATTAAACACTTATTCACTGCTTTATATTTGACAAAGTGCTTTCACACGTTATATTATCCATTCCTCACAGGTGCCATCTGAGGTAGTTACGTCAGATGAGAAACTGAGGTCCTGAGAGATAACTTGCCCAAGAGTTGCTCCACTGACTCCCCTAACTTGCCTACTCATAAAAAATGATGCTATGGATAAAATAGTTTTTAAAAATAAACAATATACTACTCAGAGAGAAATTTAGAGTTAGACCAAACACACACACACACACACACACACACATACAAATCCCTACATTTCTAAAAGCATTCCAGGGCAAATCCTACCTGAAATTCCAGAAATAATTTTCTGACCCCTAGTGGCACAGTGGTTAAGAGCTCAGCTGCTAACCAAAAGGTCAGCAGTTCGAATCCACCTCCACTCCTTGGAAATCCTATGGGGTAGTTCTACTCTGTCCTATAGGGTCACTATGAGTCAGAATCGACTTGATGGCAACAGGTAACGAGTAACTTCTAATACTTCTTAGGATTAAATTTCATGGAGAGGAGATTATCATTTGTGAAATGCACATGAATAAACACACAAAAAACACACATCGATGATCAACCCCAAAGAAAAACTATCATATAAGAAAGAACAGTTACATTTTAATGGTAATCAATACCATTATTCTTATGATCAAACTATAAAGAGTAAGTATTAATTAAGCTTTGAATACCTTTTGGTGATTTGCAGAGGATCATCAAGTATTGGGTCATTATCAAATGTTTCTTTATCAAAAAGTCTCTTTATAGCATAGTTTGCCAGCTGTTCCATAAGAAGGTATGTTTGGTTAATATGCAAAAACATTGAAAAGTAGTGATTCTCCCCTTGGGAACACACATGAATACTCTCTGTCAGTATGACATTGGAAGTCTTTTCAAGTTTTGAGACTGCATCCCACGATATAACAAGTTTTACTGCAAATAAGAGTTATAAGGAGGTATAATTAACTTTATCAATATTGATATATGTTTATTAATCAGGTCTTTTGGGACAACAGTTAACCACCTAAAAAAAAGCTATGAATAGCTAAAATACTTTAGAGATCCAAGATTTGTTAAAAATTTGAAGCACAGCCATAAATATTAATTGGTAATTCTATGAAAAGAAATAATTTTAAAGAAATTTTAAAACTATTCTGATTTTATATTTAAATCTGTGTCTTTACATAATTACAGAGTAAATAACTTTTCAATAACCAACGATTAAAAACTGTATGTGTACTATAAACAATACTGCTTGATTCTTCTTTTTGGCTGCAAAATTATATGTGGGCCATTACAGTACTATGGCTATTATGTTTATGCTGTATGTTTAAAACAAGGATAGAAACAAGTAGGCAGTTTAGAACAAGGGGTAAAAAGCCATTACATGTCAGTTAACCATTATCATTTAATATTCATTCACTTACCATAGTATGCACGACACTCTACGTATCTCTAATGGTTCCTATGTTAAGCAAGCAGTCTTAGAAGGATTCTCTAGATGAAGTTAACTTTTTAATGTACAACTTAATTACCCTTAATATCAATCCAATTACTTTATATAAACCTAACACCACCATAGAGTTGATAGGTCAGTCAGCAAGTTCAAAGTCATGGTAAGCAATAGAAACCACTTACTTTCTGATCCCAACAAAAAAGAATAGAAGCTCAGAAAGTTGGTGCTAAGATAGAGCCAACCCTGACAAGGAACCCGTCCTTTCCAATAACTGCATGAGTAATAGGTCACTAACTTCTCCTGCTCTGGTAAACCAAAACATTTTTCAAATTTCAAAAGGGCTTCTCGAAATTTCTCAGGGTCATCTTCTTTTGCAAAAGAATGCTTTCCCTCTTCAGCAATTAATCCCTAAAAGAGACAAAAGATTTCCTGAAAACTCATCACCACTTACCAACAAAAATATATTTTACGTATTTCATTTTAAATACTTAATTGCATACAACTGTAAAGGTATATGTATGTATATACCATATTTTTATGCAAGTAATGTACACTGTGATGGTTAAGATTGTGTGTCAACTTGGCTGGGCCATGATTCTCAGTGTTTTAATGTAATCACTCCCATGATTGAATATACTGTGAGTAGCCAATCAGATGAAAGGGAGTCTCCTTGGGCATGTGGCCCCTATCTGTATATAAGCAGACATTCTGGCTTTTTGCTCTTTCTGGATCCTGTGGCTGCTTCCTGTCGTCTCATCTCCCGTTCTTGGGACTTGAGCTGTCAGCTTATCTGCTGAACCTGGGATTCGTCAATCTGCACAGCCTGTGAGCAGGAGCCCTGCTCTCCAACCTGCCGATCTTGGGCTTGCCAGCTTCTGTAGCTGTGTGACTTGGGAGAGGCCTCTACCCTGATCCACGGACTTGGGACGTTCTAGCCTCTATCTACAATCGTGTGAGCTGTTTCCTTGATATAATCTCTCTCTGTATATATATTTATACACTTTACTGTTTTTGCTTCTCTCGAGAACCCAACCTAAGACATACACCTTCTGAGTTTATTTGCCAGCCACACCCTCCCCCCAAGAGGCACCCTCACAAGTGCTGCTATGCCAATCCTCTTCAACAAGTTGCTGTATAAAAAATTAGTATAGGGCACTTACGAAAATACCTCACAAGGGGAGGGCATGGCTGGCAAACAAACACAGATGTCGCACATTATTTGCATAAAAATACAGTATGTGTGCACCTACATACTTCTCTTAGGATAGAGGCCAGAAGATTTCCCTCAGTTTTGTAATTAGGCTTTTTCTAATACCTCACAAGGAGTTAGCACAAATATAGGTACTAAATATATTCTTTCGAATGGACTAAAGTTCATTCAAACTCCAAATTCAAGAGATATTGAAGTTAAAATATACCTAAGAACACTCACAAGGGTACCAAAGACAAACCAATGACTTTACAATTTTCTTTAGCACTGACTGTAACATTCACATGTGTGCTTTGACGTTAAAGGTGCCAGTAAAACAATGATGTTCCATTCAGCTTCTGACCCTCATGTAAGAGGGTCAAATATTTTAGTATTCCATCTACAAAATATATCCATGACACTTACTCTGATCTTTCCTTGTACAAAATTAGTAATATCTTCATTTGAATCAAACACAGATAAGGTCTTCATGACATTTTGTTCCAACCAATCCCAGTGCTTGGTTATTTCTTCTCTGTTGGCTCCTGATTAATAATGCAAGAGAATAAGAGACTCAGGAAAACTCTACAACAAAACTGCTCTTAACATTTACAAGCTTAGTTTAAAAAGAAATAGAATATCTGTTCACTTTCAAAAATGATGGTCATAAATGAATAAAGAGTATTTATTCTTGTATGTATGCATGGAGTATTTATTCTCTACTTCATCCCTATATGTGGGCATCAACATTATTATTTATTATAAATAGAAAGAATAAAATATTTAATGAAAGAGGAGAAAGTAAATACAAATCATGAGAAAAGATATAAAATTCTGAAAACAAGATGCCACTAACTGGTATCTACAGTAACCAGTATCTTATAAGAGTTACGTAGAGTACCAGGAAATCCATGTACATAATCCAATCCTTGGTCTTCAAATAATCTGTGACTGAAAACAGCAAGCACATGACAATCTTACGCACACTGTATAAATGTGGATTTCAATTGTGGCCATTCTGTTTTAGAAAGTGTGAAGCCGTTGCTCAGAGTCACCCCATGTGTTAGTTATCTAGTGCTGCTATAACATAAATACCGCAAATGGGTGGCTTTAACAACCGAAATTTATTTTCTCACAGTTTATGAGGCTAGAAGTCTGAATTCACGGTGCCAGCTCTAGGGGAAGGCTTTCTTTCTCTGTAGGCTCTGGAGGAAGGTCCTCGTCTTTTTGAGCTCTGCTCCTGGGTGATCTTCATGTGGCTTGGCATCTGTCTTTCCCCATCTCTGTTTGTTAGCTTGCCTTTAATCTCTTTTGTATCTCAAAAGAGATTGACCCAAAATACACCCTACACTAATCCTGTCTCATTAACACAACAAAGACAACCCATTCCCAAATGGAACTATAACCATAGGCATAGAGGTTAGGACTTATAACACATATTTTGGGGGGACACCGTTCAATCCATAACACCCCATTTGTTAACAAACCTAGTTAAGTTACAGAAATCTCATTAAGGAGGATAGAAAGCTTGTAGCAATTTTCTGAAACAGTGTTAGGTGGACTGTTGAGGCTCAGATTAAATGTTACAGATAGCTTTGGGTTGCTTTGGTTTGAAGAACAACATTTCAGTATCTATCAACCTCCTCCTATCACCAAGTACCTTTAAGATTTTCCTAGCATTGTGGATTATATAAATCTCATTCAAAAGAAATACTTCACTTCTTAGTATGTTTTATGATATATGGAGGCTGATACATTAAAACAAATTACTAACACTGAAAAAATTTCCCACAATTCAGTTGAAATCTATTCATCTTACTAAAGTCACCAGGCCAAGTGTAGTAACATTATTTAATGAACCACAATTAAAAGCTATGGGGAAATTTTAAGGCTTTTATTTTGGTCCTTCAGGTATAAGGAAGCTTCATTAGTAAGTAACTAGTACTATATTTCTGCATCAGGTTAATTTGGGGGAAGTAAGTTATGTAATATCCTTTAATTTTCATCAAAAATAGAAGGGATATTTTTCTCTAAATAGTTTCTACCAACCAGATTTAGAGATAAGGTATACAATTCTAGTGATATCAGCAGATGTAACATCCATTTAGTTTAAATGGCATTCAATTTAAGAGGACCAGGAGAAAAGACTCATCAGCAACACTAAAGGAAATTTAGAGGTAAATCAAAAAACAAGCCATATATTTAAAAAGTTAATTGTATGCTATATGTTCACACATATGAACTGTCTAGAAATTCACATGCTTTTTTTAAAAGTATATCTTTATCTTAAGAGAGGGGGAGGAGAGAAAAAGACAATCTCTCAACATTAAAAAGGCTAGAATTCTGGAATTCTAATTAGACCAACATTATAATGACATCATAAAGAAATAACAAACTGTGGGTCTATTTTTTTATTTGAACTTCTTTTTAGGGAAAAATTATCGTAATTCCTTATCTATCCACAATATATAGGGTGAAGCATCCGAACCACCTGGCATGAATGAATATGTAGCACTAACCTGCAACACATTTCTTCATATTTCAAGGATACAATGCCTTTTGTGAGAAAGTAGGGGCGTGATCAAAAAAGGCTAATTTTTTCATGCTCACATATCCTTAGGGGACACTTCTTAAATTTTGGGCTCACAGTTAACTTCAGATTCTTCTCATCTGAATTATCTGTTATTAGGGATGAAACAGCATTTCATGGGAAAGTTCCCATCTTCCCTAGCACTTGGGGGAGGCAAGAGAAGTTAAATTGAAGAAACGAGTCATAAAGCAATAGCACTGACCAAAATCTGCTCCGAATCAGCATTGCTGGAACACATGCTTTAGGTCTCTCACATCAATGGATTTTTAAAAATCCTAATAATCTGTAATCCTCCTTACATAAACAATTAGATGTCTTGCTATTCTCAGAAAGCAGAGTTGTACATTTAACTTGTTTCTAAATATCAAAACAACTAGGGAAACAGTTGTTTGAAAATTTTAAAATTCCCTACTGCCTACTACTACTTATTGCTGTCGAGTTGATTCCAACTCATAGCGACCCTACAGGAGAGAGTAGAACTTCCCCATAGGGTTTCCAAGGAGCAGCTGGTGAATTTGAACTGCCAAACTTTGGATAAGCAGCTGAGCTCTTAACCACTATGGCACCAGGGCTCCTAAGTTTAATTAAATTAAATACATTCAGATTTTCCATTTCTTAATATCCTTATGTAATGTTGATTTACATGTTTTAAAAATCATACTTACCACATGCAATTGACCAGTAAACTTGAGAATCTGGTGTCTGGTGTAGGATGCGAAATGGAGCTACTTTAGCAGTAGAGTCTAAGACTGAATCAAGAGTCCCAACCAGAAGCCCTGTTGTGATAAACAGACTGGTGAATAAGGATTTTACAAGAGACAAATAAAATCAATAGCACTTTATGTGAGAACTAATAAATTTATTTTAAATTACTTTTTTAGCCCAAAGAATCCTTACAGAGATTTTTCCTAAAGAAAAAAATGTATTCTGAATGAAGTATGCCTATGTGAATAGTGCTTGAGAAAATTATCTTTCAGTAAGTCAGGTTTAATTGTCCAAATCTCACAATATATTTTGCAGCACTTATATACCTGTTTCATAAGATTGTCTGTATAGCAAATAAAAATGTGGACTCTGGTACCCAGAATATTAGTAGCTTGGCATGTGTGAGATAGGATGTTATTACAAGCATCTTATCGTTGTTGTTAGCTGCCACTGAGTTGGCCCCCAACTAATGGTGACCCCATGCCCAATGGAAGGAAACACTGCCTGGTCCTGCATCATCCCTATGATTGGTTTTGGACTGCACTATTGCAATTCATTGGCTATTTTTCAGAAGTAGATCACCAGGCCTTTCTTCCTAGTCTGGCTTAGATTAGAAGCTCTGCTGAAAGCTGTTCAGCATCACAGCAGCATGAGGAGGGGTGAGAATTCTACCACTGAACCACCACTGTCCCCATAAATAGATTAAATTCATCTATTAAAAGACAAAGAATTGGTTTGGGTCAAAAATGAATTACAAGCATAGAGGGGGGTAAATTAGAAGAGTGGAGATGGAATAAAGAGATACATAGAAACGTGACTTAGTTGAAAGGTAAGTATGGGAGAAGAGATGTAGAAATAGACGAAAAGTAAGAGTCACAAACGCGGCATAATATCAGCTAGCAATCTGACAGAGGGTTTTGAGGGTGGGGGTAAAGTATGAAGAAAGAATATCTTGGCAATGGCAGTGTGTGCAAATTATAGAAAGAAGCTATGTGATATGAAAAAAACTTAGGGTATGAGGATTTTGTTTAAGAAATAGAAATGATATAACCCAGCTGCATAGTCAGGGTTCTCTCTAGCCAACCCGGCTCACAGCACCAACTGTGCAAACCAGTCCAGGGAGGCTGAGCTCATACACTTCTGATGCTAAATGTGGTGAGTAATAAATCCTACTCTCCAGGCCAACTGTGTCCTGTAGAAATCTCAGCTTCCTTTCCCTGATCAGTCTAGACTCCAGCTGCTCCACACATCCCTTTCTCATCCTGAATCACCCAGGGCTAGGTCAGCAGGTACTAGCCCCTTTTCTGTTTCTTAGGTTCCATAATCCACTGGAATGATTCACAAACTCCAGGGGAAGGGTTATCTTTAATCTAGCAGAAACAAAGGATACAAACACAGAGGCAAGGTCTGGGAGGGATCTTGGCTCAGAGCTTCCATATGCCCAAGGAACACTCTCACCTCCCAGGAAGCTGCACCGAGCCTCTGTTTATCAAGGCCTTTATTGGCCTCTCCACGGGTCATGATAGATTACATCACACCTCCTGAGGCTAAGTCAGCATCAGCCCCCAATTACTGGCCTCAGGTATGTTAGGCTCTCAGTAACCAGGACCAAAGGCCAAACTGTTTACTACAAGGGAGTTCCACACCTAGTGCCAGTCAACTATTCTGAAAGCAGAGGTCCTGGAGAAAAGAGAATGGGAATGAGGAGGAAGGACAAAGGAGATGATTATACTTCAAATAATGAGGGCATTACTGGAAGGTTTAGAGATAAAAGGAAAAATAATTCCATCATGTTCAGTGGTTAAGCGTTATGGCTGCTAACCAAAAGGTCGGCAGTTCAAATCCACCAGGAGCTCCTTGGAAACCCTATGGGGCAGTTCTACTCTGTCCTTTAGGGTCGCTCTGAGTCGGAATCGACTCGACAGCAAGGGGTTTGGTTTTGGTTTTCAGCGTGAAGTAGTAACTGAGAAACTGGAGATTTGGCTAAGAGGTCAAGAATAAAGAAAGAAAAATGGGAGCTAAACATATGCAGATAGTGTCTTTAGAGTGGTATGATTGAAATTACTCAGAAAACCAAGAAAACAAGGAGAACGTTCTCAGTTTGAAGGCAGGAGAATGAAAATATTCAAAAGAAAGTTAAAAGAGTGATAGCAAAAGACAATAAAAAAGGTAACCATCTTCACATTGAAAAAAGGAATCAAGTGAACATGTGCATGGGCACATATGTATAATAACATGACAATATTGTCAAAATAAAGGAATTATAACTTCAAATAAAACAACTTATTAAACACGGGACAGTTTAGTTGTTAGATTTATGACAGTCTTTGCCTTCCAAGAATTTAAATTCTAAAACAGTGCTTCAAACCGAAGCATTTTCAAATCTGCGAGCAAAACCATTTATTTCACCTTTAAACCCAAAACCTGTTGCCCCACAGGGTTTCCCAGGCTGTACTCTTTATGGATTACAGCTCAACATAAAGAAAACAAAAATCTTCACAACTAGACCAATAAGTAACATCATGACAAATGGAGAAAAGACTGAAGTTGTCAACGATTTCATTTTACTTGGATTCACAATTAACACCCCCGGAATCAGCAGTCAAGAAATCAACCGACATATTGCACTGGCCAAATCTGCTGCAAAAGACCTCTTTCAAGTGTTAAAAAGCAAAGATGTCACTTTGAGGACTAAAGTGCGCTTGACCCAATGTATGGTATTTTCGATTGCCTCATATCCATGCAAAAGTTGACAATGAATAAGGAAGTCCAAAGAAGAACTGATGCCTTTGAATTATGGTGTTGGCGAAGAATATTGAACACACCATGGACTGCCAGAAGAACGAACAAATCTGTCTTGGAAGAAGTATGGCCAAATGCTCCTTAGAAGCGAGGATGGTGAGACTTTGTCTTAGGTACTTTGGACATGTTATCAGAAGGGATCAGTCCCTGGAGAAAGACATGCTTGGTAAAGCAGAGCGTCAGCGAAAAAGAGGAAGACCCTCAACGAGACCGACTGACACAGTGGCTGCAACAGGAGGCTCAAACATAGTTTGATTGTGAGGATGGCGCAGGACCGGGCAGTGTTTCATTCTGTTGTACATAGGGTCCTATGAATTGGAACCAACTTCCCAGTACCTAACAGCAACATTTACAGAAGCAGACTGCCACACCTCTCTCCTGCGGAGTGGCTGGTGGGTTCGAACCACTAACCTTTTGGTTAGCAGCTGAGCACTTAACCACTGTGCCACCAGGGCTCCTTCATTTCATCTTTACTACTTTTTAAATAAAACTACCTCAAATCTTATTTTCTTTTTTATATACACTAGGAAAAGTAGTTATTAGGAGAACTGGAGGAAGAACATAGAGGTAAAAGACTGGCTTAGCTGTAAAGTAACAGTGGAAATGTGGATGTGTACAGAGGCCGTGAGGAAAGGAGAGGCCATTAGCTACTATTCTTGAGTGACAAAATATCAATTAGTTGTCTGACATAAGGTTTTGAGGCTGGGGACAAGGTGGCCAAAATCATTGGCAGGAAAGATCATTTTTTGGCAGCAGAAATACGTGTAAGATTATAGGTGCCTTATACTATGTTGAAAAAAAATTGTTCAGTTTTTTAAAGTGCATGAAAATAGGCAGTTAGTATAAAACTATGCAACAAATAGTTTGGAAGCTAGTGCTAGAATACATTTCCAGCCACTTAGGGAACTCTTCTAGCTCATTAAGCTGTAATCATCATCAAGTCCCTGAAAGTCATTCAAGAATTAATATGTGCCAATATCTGGGTTCTAAAAATACAAGAAAACTAGCAGATGACTTAGGTTGCTATTCTGTATACACAGAGGTTTATCATGTAACAGCCTAAACATCCAAGGTCATGAATCAGCCCACACATAGGAAATTCTACAGCTATCCTAAATTCAAAAGAGAATACTTTCTGTCAGTCGCATAACAGAACAAAAAATTGAATAATATCAAGAAATTAAAATCATCCTTTGAACGACTATCAGTAAAGTACCAATGTTCTAGACACTGGTAAAGGGCTACAGAGTTTTGGTAGCATTCTGTCATACAAGTCACACCCAACTTTTAAAGGAAGTTCAACGCCATAATTTATGTGCAATACTTTGTATTAAATGTTGTTGTTGTTAGGTGCCACTGAGTTGATTTCAACTCACAGCGAACCCACGTAGAAAGCAGAAGTGCCCCATAGGGTTTTTAAGGCTGTAATCTTTATGGGAAGCAGATCGTCAGGTCTTTCTCCTGCAAAGCCACTGGGTGGGTTTGAACTGCCAACCTTTTGGTTAGCAGCCCAGTGCTTAACTGTTGTGCCACCAGGGCTCCTTATTAAATGGCACAGCAAGATAACAAAAAAGCGAGGTTCCACGACAAGAAAATAGACACTTTGCATACCATGATTATTGTTCACTGATCAATTCTTTTTGGCTAGACAGAGGATCATTGAATTTAGAGCAGAAAAACATCCTAAAAGTTCATGTAATCCAACCTCCAAACACATTCATCTCCCTACAGTACCCCTAATAGAAAGCCTAGCTTTTTCTTGAATAACTCCAAAGAGTTTACTTCTCCCAAGACAGCCCATTGCATTGGTAGGAATTTCTATAAATTAGAAAGTTCTTTTAAAATATGGAGGGATTTATATACCCAAATGTTTTTGTCAGGACTGGCTTCATGAACTCGTGACCTATGCACAGGGCCCTGTGCTCAGAAGGGCCCCAGGCTTGGTTTAATGCTCTGGTGTCAGTGTTTTGAAATTCTTAGTAATTTTCAAACAAGGGTCCCTAAATTTTCATTTTGCACTGGGCTCTGCAACTTAGATAGCCAGTCCTGGTTATAGTGGTCATCTCTGGGCAGTGGAATGATGGATGATGATTATTTTCTTCTTTATACCTATACGTAGTTTCTGAAATTTTTACAATGAATATTTTTTCACTTTTATGATAGAAAAACAAAGCTATTTCTTATACACCAAATACAGAAAAAGGAACATCTTTATTAAGATAAATAAAATATTTCTTCCTTCCAACTTTGGGCAATAAAAAACATGTAC